AATGCGCTCGATGATTACCGACAGCTCTGCTCACTCGTATCAATAGCGGATTCACACACTGCAAACATGCTGCTCTGACTCTGAGTTTCTGTCTCGTTTCCAGTCCAAATATACAAAAGCTCTTACATCAAGGAGCATTTTCTAGAAAATCACAACATTAAGGGCCCTATCATGCACCCGCCGCAATGTGGCGCAAGGCACGGTGCAACTGTTGTTTACTAGTTTCAGCTTGGCGCAGGAGTGGTTTTAAGTGTTGCAGCACGCTGTTTAAATAGCAGATGCATTAGTAACAGCTCTGAATGGCAGAATGATGTCTTATTGCAGTTGGTCAAACCAACGTCAAACCAACCTGCGTCTACAAAGTCACACACGAGCTGATATTTTCCAGAGTGTGGTACATTACGCGTCACTCCCGGTGTGTGGTACATTCCCTTTCTGTAAGGAATCTGTCATTGTAGATGTGTTTGGGCACTGGTAAAAGTGTTCTGCGTCTTGTTCATTGTTTTCTAAATTCACACTCGGCCTAATCCTGACATGAACGACATGTGAAAGGTGTCACAGGAGCTTGTGCTTCCCACTAGCCGCATTCGCTTGTGTATGAATGGAAGTCTAAGGGGTGAAACGTGTAAGAAAAGAGTAAGAAGAGCTTCATTTGCAGTGTGAACAGTGTGTCTGAGCACTAGTGAGTGTGTTACCCGTTGACTGTGCAGTGTGTCTCCTCCGTGCGGCAGTGTGTAGCAGTGCAGATGCAGACGTGTCCTCGTCCTCCTGCAGCGTCCACACATCTGGAGTCTGCAGAGCAGGGCTGCGATGAACACGGACGAACATCTGCAGGAACAACAGCACACACACACACACACACACACACACACACACACACACACACACACACACACACACACACACAATACTGACAATACAGTCAGAAGCAGAGCTGCAGTGGTGGAGTACATCTGGATTACGCAATCAGAGTCCAAAAAAACTAGAGTAAACGGAGTAATCAGATTAGCGTCACTCTTTCTGGATTACACTGTATTCACACACAAGTTGATGGCAGTTCTTCAGCTATGAACTTTCAATACACCTATTTTATGCACATTTTAGAATAAAATAAAAATCTTCAATGAAACATCAAGATACACTTTAAATGGAGTGAACAGGGTAATCTTATATCACAGAGGAAACTGGATTATTCTACTAGATATTTTACTTGTCAGATTATTCTGCTTGCTTTAACTCTCTTCATTCTGACCCATGATTGCTGAAAACAACACTATCTGTTGTGCCTGTCAGGAAAATGCTTCTTAATGTACGAGTTTGTAGATTTCTGGACTGGAAACAGGACAGAACCTCTAAGAGCAGCTCTGTGAGATATTCTGATAGTGGTGGTCGCGGTGGTTTTGCTGTGAGCGTCACGTTTTCCACTATTGGTTTTTGTAATGCTGCTGATTTCTAAATGAAGACAGTTAAAGTAAAATCATATGCTGGGATGTTGTTTATTCATTTGCCAACAGTAGCGGTGAGCTATGTTAGTGTGAAGATTGTGAAGTTAACAGTGCTGACCAGGAGTGTGACGAGACGCTCACTCCACAGGACGAGACACGAGATTGGGTTCACGAGAACGAGACTTGTACACTTATTTTAAGGAATCTTCAATGATGAAATTTATGAATGGTAAACAGAAAATAAAAATCACAAATTATTAAACTATTTAGGTGTTGTTTTTTAAAATAACTTGTCATCAATGTTTTTAACTATTAATTTAATGAGTTCTATGCAGTAAAGGACATGCAAACGCTGCTAAATATTCAGCTAATAGCCTACCTGGATGATAAATAGACTTTTTATATATGATTTAAATATTAGTAAAATATTTGCTGATATATGAATGGAAAATAGAAAAAAATCACAAACTGCAAAACAATTGTGATGCTTTTAAAACATAATTGTAACGAGCGGTTTTTATTTCTATTTTTATCTTTAAGTTCATGCCATTTTTGTTATTTCATTTTAAATTTTTAGCAGTTTCAATTTAATTCAGCAAGATTTCATTCCTGCCCGTCACAAACTCTGAGCTCCTGAATGCAAATATGAAGGACTGATGGGAGAGAGCTGCTCTAATGTATATATACCACCAACAGCATAAGTGTGTGTTCAGTGATGATAAAGGTGTGTCCAGAAGTTCACTGCATGTTTGTGTGTGTGTGTGTGTGTGTGTGTGTGTGTGTGTGTGTGTGTGTGAACCCGCTTAGAGATGTGTTTGTGGTCTTTTACTGACTTTAGGAGAATAGTGTCAAACAGCCGTGTGTGGCAGAAATGTGGCTAAAAGACCTACACGACGGCAATAGTTTGATTACACTCTTTACTCTGCACTTCAATAATGCGACTGAAATAGGAATACTCCACACAATTCCACTAATGTTTACGATGATTATGACTTTAAGCATATCTAAAGAGCTATTCCATCTCATGGGGATGACGCATGGTTAATGTGTGGGACTGCAGTTGTAGCCTCTGTTGGACGCATCAGCCTCTAAACTCCGGTTAAAAAAGAAAAGTGGTTACGTCGCGCCCGCCCGCCCGCTTAACTGAGTGACACGCACAACGCTCGAGGCCAGTCTGCTCTGGGTTACCAAGTGTGATTTGCAGTTCAAATCTAATCCTGCCTCCAATCTTAAGTGCTAATCTTCACCCTCACACTCCATCATAACATCACAACCCAGGTAAAAAAAAAAGTGCACTAAAATGCACTTTATTTAAGTATACCTAGTACACTTTTCAGTAATGTAATAAAAGTGCTCTATTTTCGCACACTAATTTTGTACTTAATGTACTAAAAGATAGTATTAAGTATATGTTAAGATACACTTAATACCATCTAAGTGCACTCAACTGTGCTATTTTGAGACACCCTGAAATTGATCTAAAATGTGCTTTTAACATACTATATCTGTATTTAAAATATATATTTAGTTACACCTAGAAATACACTTGAACTCTACTTTTAAACATTTAAAAATATTTATGACTAATTTAAAGTATAATAGTAATATATTAAAAGAATATACAAATTGTAAAAAAAAAAGTGTGCTAAATACTGTATTAAAAGTATTTCGGAAAATGTACTTCTACTACAATACATTACTAATATATTTGTTATATATTAACTTATTTTAAACTCAGGATTAGTATGTAAACAGTGTACTAAAACTCAACTAATGTTTAAAGCATTTAAAGCACACTTTTGCAAAACACACTAATAAAACAGTTTTGGATGTTTTTTTCTGTAGTGTACTTTTATGTAGTACACTAAAAGTTTATTTAAGTATTACTGGTATTTAGTATACTTTTGTCAAGTGTACTAAAGTCCTACTGAAACATAAACATACTTTTAATTAGTATATTTATAGTGCAAAACCATCAAACTTTTATTTAACACAAAAAAACCAATGTACTAAAAATGTATTTGCGGGTATTTAAGTGTATTTTAGTTGCATTTAATTATATTTTTTTTCATCTGGGAACTTACCAGACACCTTTTCACAGCAACGAGAAATCTCATCTGGATTTAATCTCACGAGATCTCATCATACGAGATCTTGTCACCTCCCTAGTACTGACGCATTTCAAAATATATATTGTGTTGCTTCAACCATATATCAAAATGAAGGTAATCTTTAATTAAAACAAGCTAAGTAATCTTGGGGGCAGCACGGTCGCTCAGTGGAGTTGCACTGTGGCCTCACAGTAAGAAGGTTGCCTGTGTGGAGTTTGCATGTTCTCTGCATGTTGGCGTGGGTTTCCTCCGGGTGCTCCGGTTTCCCCCACAGTCTGATGCTGAATATCTGGAGCTGTCGGAGATTCAAATCATGCTGTGTGAAATGAGTTCTGACTGAAAACACATCGGCGATCACCAACAGCCAATCAGAGAGCAGCACCTGCAAGTGTGTGTGTGTGTGTGTACCTGCAGGCCAGCGGGAGGTTGAGGTTCATTTTCAGTTTATTTAGACCCAAGCAATGGAGGAAAAACTAGTGTAAATCTGGCAGGTGCACCTGTGAGTGTTTGACGTGTCATCTGAGCAATATGAGAACCGGCTCTAAAAAGAAAGTTGAGGAGAGATGGCTAATTCCCTTCAAATCCAGGTGAGCAAATATGTACATTTTCTACACCATTAAAGGCTTCTTTCTCATTATGAAGGTAATAACAAAAGAAATACGACGTGTGTTTGGTTGTGAGATGTAGTTTGGAAGAAGTTGTCGGCGATTCTTCCTATAGTAAAGTCATGCAGTGTGAGAGCCCCTGATGCTGATCCATCTGCAGTGTAAACAAAGCAGCGACAAAACACTGGCCCAGATAGATAAGCAGTGTGAACACATCTGTGACACGACGACTGTGAACATCCTGCAGTCTGAACTCGGCCTTACGAAATAAAGTTTATTTATAAAGTAATGTCGTATTCAATATTCAATTAATGATTCATCAATCAGACGTTTCCTAAGCCACTATAATTACCCTGAGCTCCATATGACAGCCATCTTCGTTTTGAAGAATCCCCCCTTCCACCCCTACTCCCCTGCTGAAATAAACTGCTTAAACCAGCTTAAGCTGGTTGGCTGGTTTTAGCTGGTTGACCAGGCTGGTTTTA